CATTGTTCTATAATATTACTATATTATTATTATAATGTCAAATTTTTATAAATAGTTCTAAACAAAAGCTGTTTAACTACTACTACTACTACTAGTACTGTTTTTGAATAAAAAAATTAATTTTTAAGGAATTAAACATACAACCACGATACCTACTTTTGACAAATAAAAACCTTCTTAAACAGCTTTTGTTTAAAACTCTTTATAGAAATTTGAAATTAGTAATATAATAATTAAATTATAATAATATTTTCTTAATGGTCGGAATGGCCGTATATTCTTTTTATGGTATATTTACCTACCTTTAAATTTATTAGCCAAATAACTGTTAAAGTTACAATTGTTGACATAATTGTAACTATAACAATTAAGCATTGGGTAAATTTAGTGAAGTGAATATACTGGCTCTTATTCTATTTGTCGCCAAATCAATCCGACATTTCTTGTCGGAGGACTTTATTAAAAAACGGATAACGAATACATTTAGCTTAAAATCCTCAAAAAATATGTGACAGCCTGCCACTGACAGGTACTCAATAGACACTTATAAGATGGAATAAACAGTTTGAAAAATGTCTAAATAAATTTTCTGGTTTTCAAAAAAATGGCCACCCTGAAAAATTATGTTTTTCTGCCAACAGAAAAGACCTGATAAGCCTATAAGCTGAATAGGTTGATTGGTCACTATTAAGATAATGCCTATAGTTGCACTTAAACTAATTAAGTAAGGGCCGGTTTATCAATGTCCAGTTAAAGTTGCAGTTAGTTATCTAGCAGATAATTTCCATGGATACCATTGTTCTCACAACGATCAATAAAGAATTTAAATGTCAGATAGACTAACTGGCAATTAACCAGAGATTGATAAACCGGCCCTGAATCAAGTAACATTGATTTTATTATTTAATAGTTCTGTTTCCACACCACTTTGGTGAAAATTGGACCAGCAATTTAGTTGCACACTGTATAAACCACGAATTACTTACTGATTTAGTTTAGTGGAAAGATCAGGCTACCCAAAACTGAACAATAGTAAAATTTCGAGGTGGTAATTTATTTGTATTGCCTAGTTTATAAAGATTAGCAAACCATTTATAACTTTTTTTAAGCCATTGATTTTATAGACTTATTCTACAAAGTAATTAACTAATTGCATGCTACTATTCAAGACCATTTTATGGGAATTTCGTAAGTGCGAATTTAAATGATATTTTTGATAAAATTTCTTTTCACAAAGTAAACATTTGAAGGAAGGAGACTTTCCACATTCGTAATTCATATGACTTTTCAAATGGTAATTATATTTGTAAGATTTCTTGCAAACAGGACACACATGTCTTTTGGAACCTAAAAATAAAAATATTAGTAGGTAAAAATAAAAAATACTTACTAAATAGAAAAAAATAACACAAATACTTTTTTAATGATTTATTATAACTCAAAGGTTACATTTGAGTGGGATTTTACATGAGTGTTTAAGTGATATCTATGAAAGAATTTTTTTTGACAAACTGAACATTCGAAGGAGGGTGATTTCCCACATTCATAGTTTAGATGACTTGTTAAATGATAACTATGTTTGTAACTTCTCGTACAGTAAGGACATTTATGCCGATTATCACCTAAAAATATAAGTATTTTAAATTAAATAAATTACAACCCCAATTATAAGTATTTTAAATTAAAAAATTACAACTCTGGTATAAATTTAATACCAATACAAATTGTTATTGGAAGAAGGATTTTTAGTATTTTTAACTATCTGAAATGTTTTACAACAAATTGTTGCTAAAATTAAATTTTGGCCAAAGCCCAACCGGTCATTTTGGTGCCAGAAACACAAGTATAGTATTTAACTGCTTCCGGTTAAAATATTAAGTAAATTGTAGACAGCTTCAACTATTAGTTTAAACATATATGTAGTAGTCCTAAAATACCCCAGCTGTCTCTAATTTACTTGATTTTTAGTAATCCTTTTATAATATAATCTTAGTTGATTCAACTACATACATAAGTCTACAAAATTAAACCAAATTACTATTGATAATATCAGATTATACATTTCCGAAGGTTTTTGATGCGCTGAACTAGAATCCGTTTTTAGAAATGCTTCATCACGACAGGTTTTTAAAAATTGCTCATCCAAAGTAAAAAAGTATGCTTTTTCCACATTTATACATTTTAAAAAATTTCAATATATTTTTTTGAACAGTAACTTTAGAGGGCGTTACAAGTCTTATGAAGAACAAATACCTAGTGATCTAGTATGACATTATAATATTGAATATACACTTTTGGTTAGAATGTCTTAACAACCTAACATGATGTCGTCGGATTTGGATTTAGCACCCTTTGAAAACATGGTTTCTGTTGAAAAGTTTGTGTAAGTACTTGACGAATTGACGATTTTTTTTCCAAATTGTTAAATATGTCTATAGACATATTTAACAATTTGGAAAAAAAATCGTATACGTCACTAATTAATGTAATCTCTATGGAACTCTGTTCCTAGCAAAACATAATATTTATGACAATTGTTATACATATAATAATATAGAGGGTGTCATGTATTAAATTGTCATCCCTTGGGGGGTTGATAGTTCCAGCCAAAGTAAGCAAGTTTTTCCCTATCACTTTTGAAAAGTGATAGGGAAAAAAGGCGGCTGGTGGATTTTGGGCACACCCATATCTCAGTTATTAGACATGGAACCCAGATCAAACTTATATGAGTTAATAATGACATTATATAGACAAGTTCTGCGCAAGCAGAATTTAAATTGAAGTTTGCAAAATAAAGTTAGTTTTTAAGTATGCCCCCCAGCCTCCTGCCCCCCAAATTAGTATAATTCAAATTAAAGTGGTACAATATTTAATTCACTGAAGTTTATCGACAAATTTAAAATTTTATGCCCCCCAGCCTCCTGCCCCCCAAATTAGTATAATTCAAATTAAAGTGGTACAATATTTAATTCACTGAAGTTTATCGACAAATTTAAAATTTTATTAAAAAATTCAAGAATTACACGTTTTATACCATTTTAAATTTTTATTATTTCTTTTACTAAATTAAAAAAAAACAGAAATGGTATAAAATCTGTAATAGTCGAATTTTTTAAATAAAATTTAAAATTTGTCGATAAACTTAAGTGAATTAAATATCGTACCACTTTAATTTGAATTATCTTAATTTGGAGGGACAGGAGGCTGGGGGGCACACTTAAAAACTAACTTTTTTCGAAAACTTCAATTTAAATTCTGCTTGCGCATATAATGTCATTATAAACTTGATGTGGGTCCCATGTCTAATAACTGAGATATGGATGTGCCCAAAATCCACCAGCCGCCAATTTTGAAAAGTGACTTTTGCATTGGTGCTAATATTTTTAAATAAAAAAAAATCATAAAAATTAACGTAATTCTTAGGCATTTGTTTTGCAGAAAAAAACCATAACGTGTAAGCGTTTGTGGTCAACGGATAAAGTAGAGTCGGTCAGTTGTTTAACTTTGCTTTATATAGGTACTGCTGTCAATGATTTTTATGTGCTGACTATACTTCAAATGCCATTAATTTTCATGATTTTTTTATTAAAACACAGTAGCACTTATGCAGAAGTAATAGTACTTTCCAACAAAGGATGACAACTTATTACTTATTATGATAACGATTAAGAAAAAACATGTTAAATATAAAGAAAGAAATTAAGTTAATTTAATATATTTTTACGTAATTTTTCCTGAGACTCAAACACAATTAAAAAAAAAATGACTATAGGCAGCTATAGCTCTATCTGAAAAGTAATAATTAAATATACAGTTGAAAAAAAACATGATTTTAAAAAAAATAACAAATATTTGTTCCTGTCATCTAAAATTATGTTTAAATTTAAAAAATAAAATAACCGTATAACTTTAAACGATATATTTATTTAAACCATAACCCAAACAGTAACATTAATATAATATAAATAATTATAATTTAACCATTTGTATGTAAATATAGAACTAAGTTTTTATTTGAACACAAGTTATAACCTAATGTAATAACATTATAAAAATTAATAAAATAAATGTAAACATGGTGTTTCTTAAATAATGGTCAATACTGAAAGGGCTTAATCCTAAGATGATTTAAACTTCGTGAGCTCATTCAGTGTCGGCCATCAATTTGGAAACAGAATTAATAATTAACAAAATTATATTTTTGTGTAAAAGTTACATAAAATTTTGATTACAATTAATAAACATTTTGTTCTAAATATTTTTCTAAATTAAAAACTTAAATAATTTAATTATTAGTCTTGTATGTAAAATATTTTTATTGCTCTTAGCATTTTCACAAATTATTAAGTAATTTCTATTAAATATCATTGCTATTGGTTTCTAACCACTACAACTAAATAACAGTATATAAACTTTAGAAAGATATATACATGGTGTACCAGAATATGTGGGCAATCTGGATTTGGATGGAACACATAAAAATAATATGACAAGTTTCTATACATTTTTATTCTACGGCCCCCCTTACCGAGATACTGGCCCATAACGGACACAACTGGAAAGAAAAAAAAAGATCAAACATTTTAAAACACTATTTTAAACTGACACTAACATCATTATTTAAATCGGTAAAAAAAATTAAAAAGATAAAAATAAATGCAATAAATTAAACCTAGTAGTTTAAAAGTTATTTAAAAACAAACGATTTCTAGGGGTGTCTGTAATGGGACCGTATCTCCGTAGAGGGGGCCGTAGAAAAAAAATTATATGAACTTGTCATATTATTTTTATGTGTACTATTTAAATCCGGGACACACATATTCTGGGACACCCTGTATATATTTATATATATATATTGCCTGTTGTTATTGCCACCATTTCTAAACATTATAAATTAATAAATTCCATGTCAAAATTAATACCCATTTGATTCCGTTGGCATCAGGTACTGTAATAATTATTATAGCAAAACAAAGGTAATACTTAAAAAAAACAAGTTATTAGGTATCTTCATTATTAAACTCATTGTTGTTATTCTCATTCCCCTGTGTGTGGTGTTTTCTTATATGCACCCCTAAATTCCCTTTTTGTTTAGCTTTGTATGGACACCTGGGGCACTTAAACATGGGTTCTTTTCCCCCGCATTCAACCTGTTCGTGTCTTCTCATAGTTGACTTCCATCTATATCTTTTTCCGCAGTGTTTGCAGGCAAATTGAGAGTCCTCGCTGTAACCAGACCTCAAAAAACTCTCGCTGTACTTTTTGTATATGTCCCCGTTTTGGCCCTTCTTCTTGTACTTGCTGGCAGGATTTATTAAATAATGCTCTAGGGATGGTGGCACGAAAATATTATCGAATTCTAGGAATTCTAAAAGCCCAATAAAAAAATATAAAATAAATATAAATAAATCATAAGGTTTTAAAGGGTTAATAACAAAAATAAGCGAAAACACAAACACCATGTTAATTTAATTAAAATTGACAATAAATCACAGAAAAAAAGCAAAATATATTTAAAATAATAGAAATATTAAATTAATGCGCAATGGAAAATAATACAACATATTAAAAATAATATATTTATTTTTAGTCAATAAAACGTAAGGCACACTTGGGCTCTAAGGCAGATTTTTTTAATAAAAATGTCTCGACAAAATGTTTTCACTTTAAAATATCATACATTCTTACCAAGGGCGTCGCCAGCCAATGGGCCAGGGAAGGAGCAAGATGATGGAAAGAGGATATGAATTGTAGGCGTAATAAATACAATTTGTAGTGTCCGATCAAAGCTTCGGCGTTGAAAAAAAGCCACCTTTAGCCAATCATTCGGCTTCGGCTAAAATTGAGCCGAACTAAAACTAATAACGGTGGAAAGTCGAAATTTTTATTTTTTTTTCGTTCAGGAGATCTACTCCTTCACCAAATTTTTTTGGTCCATTTTTTTCGATTTTTCTGTCCGATTTTTTGTCCGTTTACCGAAAATCAAAATTTATAAATATATATATAATATATAATTTATTATAAGGAAAAGTTGCTGCGGGACAGTCATCCAGTTTTGTTTTTTGAAAATGGGTCGGATCCGTTAAAAACTTTTCGAAAAGGTAATTGGGCAAGCAAAAACACGAATTGAACAATAAGAAAATGCATTCTAACGTATTAAAAGATTATCAACATAGGTTTAAATTAGTTTAATTAAATTGTTAAAAATCGGATTTAAAATAATATTAATAATAATAAATAAATTTAAAATATTTTTTGCTCTTCTGAGAAACTGGAAAATCGGACAATAAGTGACATGGTTTTTGAGTCTCTAAAGGGGGGGCAGCTGCTCTCCTGCCACACTATGGCAACGCCCATGATTCGTTAAATTTAATTATAAAATACACAATAATCATTTGATAAAATGGATTAAATTATTAAAAATTAAAGTTTTGTATTTATAATAATTGTAAAAATAGTAGTATGAAGTAAGGCAATTAACCTATTCACGTCTAGGCTTAGTCTAGGCCCACAAATTATTTTTATTTTCACCTTCTTAGTTAATGACATTTTATAAATTAATTTTGTTGCTTTTGTAACCAAGTAAACTATAAATTACACTGTAGGTAAATTTTAAACTTTTGAAATATCGGACACGTAAACATAATTTTTAGTCGTAGATTCCAAAAATCAAATTTCGTCCAGATATTATTTTTAGAGTCAAATATTTGAATACAATTTTTTATTTTTAGGTTGCTAATTTTACGAAATTTAAAATAAGTGTCAAGTACTTATTGTTAACAAAATCTAAAAACCATAAATATTTACATAACCATCTTTGGCAAAATATTTTATATTTGAACTTAGAAATTAACCAAGTACACTGAAAGAAATATATGTTTGTTTTAGCAATGTTTGTGGTTCATATATGGACTACCACATACATTGCTAAAACAAACATATATTATATTTAGTTTTAACATAATATGTTAAAACTAAATATAAAAATGGTTAAGGTAAATATATTATATGTTTGTTTTAGCAATGTATGTGGTAGTCCATATATGAAACATAAATTTCTTTCAGTGTAATTATAATTTTATAAACCAGTATGTAAAAATCATAAATGTCTTTAAATAAAACAAAATTGCAAGTCCCTTTCAAAAATGCACAAAACTCACAAAATATTACATGACCAACAAATCATCATCAGTAATATTAGCTCTTGCAATATTATGAGTTAATACTATATGTCTTATAACATTCGCCTTTAAATTTGATATATAAATGCAATCGTCACGATTGCATTTATATTTCTGCATATTTAACAATTTATGTTTGAGTCTTAGATGTCTGTAAAGGGTGCACCTTTGTTTAGCCTTATAGGGGCACATATGACAACAAAATGTAGGTGCTTGACCACATTCGTATTTTGTATGTTTTCGAAGGGAAGTTTTGTAATTGTAGACTTTTCCACAGTGGCATGTATATGGAGGAACTAAAAAACGAGCATTAGTTTTAAATAAATAAAAACATCGTATAATAACACCAGTCCTACTTATATAGTATACTTACTTGTTTACCAAATTTAAATATTGTATAGGTATATATGTATACATATGTGGTCATATTTAATCTAGTTTAATTAAATCTTCATCAGAACATTTGTGTACACTTTTCATATGAATAATTAAATTGTATTTTTGTTTCATACTTTTTGGGCATAATTTACATTTAAATTTACCCTTTTTTATTTGACATTCATACTTTTTGTGCCGATTTAAAGATGAGACAGCGCCGTACGTTATGTTACAAATTCTGCAGGAATATGGTCCTAAAATTACAATTTGATATCTTAATAAAAAGCTACTAATACAGACATTATTATTTAATTGGCCATCAGAACATCAAGTTTTGTAACAAATATTTATTGAATAAACATTTTATTTAGGTTGTTATTATGTTTTTAAAATATTATTGTACTTATTAGTTTTTAAGTTTTACACAAAAATAAACTTAAGATTTCTAAACAAAGTAAAAATATAAAATTAAATTTTTGAAATGTATTTCGGCAAAAAAAAACAGTATTCAAAGAAAACTAAATTAAGAAGTTCACAGTGACATGATATGATATATAAAATTGTTTTGTTTTATTGCTAAGCTAACTTCGATAACATAAAATATTAACATTCAAAAAATATTCAGTGTGAATGTTTCAAAATCTATTTTTTATATTTATTAAGAAATTTTATTAAAACCGGTGGATTATAACGTAAACATAATTGTTTAATTCATTTTCCATACAAATTCAGTGGGGTTTGGTTAGACATTTTTTTTTATTTCTTAATAATTAAAAATAACATTTTGAATAAACCATTTAAAATGTTTTTAATAAAACGACTTTATGAATGAAACACAAATGTAGTACATGGAATGTTTAATTACATCGATCACATAAAATTTACATCAACTTAAAATCAGGATGTCTGGAATGCACATGCGATACAAGACTACTTTTTTGTTTGGCTCTGTAATCACAGAACGGGCATTTAAATCTGGGTTCTTTTAGACACTCAAACTTGTTGTGTCTCCACAGAGAACGCTTTGCTTTATAGACTCTTCCACATGTTAAACATGAATATAGTGAATTTTCTAAAATTAATTTGTGTTATTATATTGTTTAATGGGTTATTTGCACACAAAATACGATTTCTACGAACAGCAAAAATAAATGTATAGCAGTCCTAACAAGAACTTTAATTAAAACAATTGTTAAGTTTTTAAGCAAATACAATTATTGTTATTATTATTATAATTTCCAACGGGCTTTGGAGAAAATTTTTAAAGTAAACAAGAATTTCACATGGACCTTACTCCGGATAATTTTAATATCTCCTTTTAAAATTTTCTCGAAAGGTGCCATTTAAGTGGCAATGGTCAACATTTATACTTGTCGACTCGATAATTGTTTTAAAGAATTTAATACAAGTTCTTGGTAAAAACAAAAAATCATGACAAAATCTTTCTGATTTTGTCGGAATAATATCGGGAAAACCCAATAGAAATTTTTATAATAATACGAAAAATATATAAAACAACAAAAAAATAAAGATATTATTTTTTTATTTACAGTTCTTAAATTATATACAACTTGTATAAGCACTAAAAAGTATTCAAAAAGGTATAGAGTGACAGCTCAAATAGTAGGACACTCACGGTTTCAATATTTCTATCTGCTTATAGGATGTGTCCGCATATAATAAAGTTAAATAAATACAATGGGAAAAAATGTTTGCTCATGGGAGCTGTCAGCAAAGGAAGCTTTCACTGTAATTAAAAAATCATAATACAATATCTTAAACTAGGGGATAACATGTTGAAAGTTTATGCTTTTTTATAATATGTCTATTCATATGATACTTGTGTGCACATGTATATACACAATGTTCTATAGGACAACTGATTTTGACTCCACAAAAATATTTACTATGAGTACGAAGGGTATCCTTTCTAGCGTATTTTTTTCCACATTTTTCGCATGAAAATACTAAAAAATAAAATAGATCAATAAAAAAAAAAATTTATGTATTTATAAAAGTTTTAAATTGCATAACTGTATAGCTTTTTTAAAAACCGTATAGGGAAATTAAAATCCAATATGTTTAATAGGAATACTGTATAATAACATTTCTTATCTAAACAATTTTTCGTGTGTTTTCATATGTCTTCTTAAATTTGCTTTTAACTTAGTTTTGTAATTGCAATTTTCGTTTGGACAACTCAGCGCATCTTCTTTTCCGCAATAATAGGATATGTGTATCCTTAGAGAATCCTTTTTAAAATATACTTTTCCACATGTATTGCAGTGATATGCAGCTAAAAATAAATTAGGTTAGTTTTTAATTTATTATTAAAAATTTAAAAAACCTACTTTTTACTTATGGTTTGGTTATTTAAAAAAAATAATTATAGTTTGGTATTAAGTAAATTTTATTACTTAAAGTATTTACAACAATGATTAAATCAAATAAAAACAATTAAAAAAGTGAATTTTATAAAAAATCATTAAACATTGAACAAACCTATAGGTATTTTAAAATATTTCTTGTAAGATTATGCTGGCAAGTTTAAAAACTACTAGTATTTAACAAAATAAATCTAAATCCAGAAATCAAGTTTTTAGAGCATTTCGTTGTTTACACGTTTACAATTATATTAAATATATTCTAATTAATAAAAATTCAGTCTAAAATAAAAAGTCATTAGATACATCACTAAAATTATGGAATAAAGTTTCGTAGTCGATACTACGATAGAATCTCTTAAATATTAATACGTTTTAAAACTTAAAGATTCTACTTTATTAAATTGTTAGGTTACAACATTAATTTAAAAATGCTTTTCTGCATCAGGTACACAACTTAATTATATTATTTATGGCCATATGCAAAAGCGATTGTTAGGATTTGATGGGCCATCAAATTTTTAAACCACCAAATTTTTCTCAAACATCAAAAAATTTTGAAGTAAAATCTTTAAATTAAATATTTATTACTATAAATAGTTTTAACACAAAAACATATAAAAAAATCGTGACATTTCTTTTTAAAATATAAGTAATAAAAATTATATTCATTTAAAATTAAACAATGTTAAATTAAAAAATTTTATCTCAAAATATTTAGTGTTCAGAAGTCATTACATTTTTCATTTAAATTGGACATTTATATTATATGTAATTGCACAAAAAGTCGATGTACGAGTATATGTAATAATATTATTTTTTATGATTTTTTAATGTTTACTTTAAAAAAATTTGAACATTTTATTTGTTTTTTTTTTGTTTTACGAAATCTAAAAAAAATCACAATCACATGTACAAAAAAGCATATAAAAGGTACAACTGGAAACGTTATGTATAATTTAAACTAAAAAAAAACTGTTTGTTTTATGGAGAACGATTTTAACTAGGCCCAGTTACAAATAATAACACTAGTCAACAAATATACATATAAATTTACATATATAAAAGTCAATAGAAGATTTTTGCCATGGCTGCATCCGAAAATGCGGTTAAAATAATAACATGTTTAAAGATATAGATTTTCCATATTTTCCATGACGTTTTTTCTTATTTAAAAATATCTTTGATACTAGTTGCCGTATATTTTTAATATGAAATTAAAGAAAAATAAATTGAGTACTTGTCCACTAGGCAAGAAGGGTTCATGTGGGAGTTATACTTAGATCCCTTGGTTTGTGCACATTAACCTTGTTAGCAAATTTACACAAAAATCATGTTTTACTATGAATTATACGCCCAGCTTTTTTAATTGTATCTACTCTCTAAAAATAAATTAGCCAAAAATGACTAATTTTATAGTTATTAGTGGCTGCTTTTTCACTTGTACCATGGAATACCATGGAATACCATGGTTAACACCAAATTCTTATATAAAATTATCCCCTGAATCCGAAAATACCGTCAAAAATTATGAAAGTGGAGCAGTTTTTGAGTTATAGCCAATTCCATATTAAATGGATTAAATTGACTATATCTCAAAAACTGTTCCACTTTTTTAACTTTTGACTACATTTTCGGATTAAGGGGACAATTTTACATAAGAATTGGCTAAATTTTTGGGATACCAAGGTATTCCATGGTTAACCATGATACAAGTGAAAAAAGCAGCCACTAATAACTATTAAATTAGTCATTTTTGAAGTATAGCAAATAAAATAAGCCACTAAGAGAAGAATAAAAAATCTACTAGGGGTGGGCAAAAATAATCGATTAATCGATTATTAATCTATTATTAGATTATTAATCGATTAATCGGTTATCAAACCGCCGATTATTTTTTGTATAATAATCGCCCAGCCCTAGTATCTACGTTTGTTTTGTGTAAAAAAAGTAGGTACATATTTTGAGTCTTTTATTCACATGGAGGAAACGTTTCTGCAAGAGTGGCACAAAGCTTTCAAAGTTTAATATCCTCCAAGATTAAAAAAAAAACGATTATATTTTTTTTGAGTCTCCTGAAAAATACGTTATATTTAAGAGCTCCCTGTAAAATCAGATCGATTACAAATTTTAAGGATTGAAAAATAGTCAAAATTATTTTTTTTTTAATTTGTTTGCTCGCCAAATTTTTTGTCCATGAAAAAATAAATAGGTTTCTTAAATTACAGCTCAAAACTAATTTAAAAAAATATGGAAAAGATGGAAGTAATTATATAGGTTAATTTGATGTATACTTAATAAATAATAATTAATTAATATTTTTTGTACAAAAAATTTACGTAAAATATAAAACATAAAATATAATTTTGACTGATTTGGGAATTTTCAAAATTTCTTAAGCGAGCCCCTGGATGATAAACTATCATATTTTCACGAAGTCGTTTATTTTGGGCCTCCACAGTTGACAGTCATAAAGCACAAAGCTAAATAAAGATTTACCACAACAAAAAAACAACGTACTGAGTTTTTGCATTTTTAACTAAAAGTCTTTTATCTTCTACGTATTTTTAGACAACTTAGTGGTTATTTTTATTTGCATTAAATAAACGCTTTAACGACAATAACTTCCTAAATAGCTGGGTGAAACCAATAATCTGATCAGAAAATGTTAAATATATTAACGGTAGATAATGTATTAACCTTTTAATTTTGTATTGAAAAACATGGCAATTCGTCAACTATTATCATAGATATTTTTAAATATGGGAAAATATAACAAATTGACTACATTCAATAATCCATTATAACTTTTTGAGGCTTTTTTTCGGATTTAGCGGGACAATTTTACACAGGACTTAAATGCCCGGGATACAAATTGCTGTTGACTAGTGCCATTATGGGCAGATTTTATAGATTTTTTACTTGTCAATATTCATAAGAAATAATATAATAATATTATGTTCTTTCCGAAAAATCCTCTGGGTATAGCAAAAAGATTTATTTAATGTTTAAAGTTAAATAAATAATAAATAGCAAAGAACATAGATTTAAAGGTTTGAAAAGATGTTATGTTTTAATTTTAAATGAGACGACAGCAGATATTTTCTCGTTGTTTTGTAGTTGCATTTAGGAAACAAGCAGGAAAATGGCGCTTTATTGGTGCATTCAAATTTTTTCATGTCTCCATAGCGACCTTTTCACTTTAATACCATTTTCCACATTTTTCACATTCAAATCCTTGTACTAAAAAAAAATATTATTAGTACAAAATAAAATACATAATCGCTAACACAAAAAAATATTTAAACATGTGTTTTACCTTGATGTACAATTTACAAAATAAAAAACAAGTCTTAAAAAATATATATTTATTACCTTATTTATAACATTAACATTAAATATACATATCTGCGATAACAAGCTCTAGTCAAATTATAATAATAAAGTTAATAACAATAACCTAAGAATAATACAACTATTTTGGTTAGTTTTAATAGTAAAATAAAGTGTTCTGCTAAGGCACAAGTTAAATTAATTATTAAGTAATAAAACTTAATATTCGATTGTGTAGGTGTTGACTAAATTATTCGTTAAACTCACAAAAAACTATTATTACAAACATACATGAGAACTAAAAGCTTTATAATAATAAAATACATAAACTAATAACTATAATTAAAAAAATCAAATCTCAAATTATAAAAAAACATAAATGTTTTTATCCCGTTAATTTAACAAAATAAAAGTAAGTTTATATGTACCCAGACCCTAAAATAACCCAATATTAATTAACTAAAAAACAAGATACTACATATTAAAACATTTTTTAAATAATAGGTTAGTTGTTAGTAACAAAATTGGTTACTATTATTGATTTGTATGATTTTATTGTATGCTGGGGAAAGTATTTACATGCTTTTAAATGTGTTTTTTAATAAATATTTGTTTAATTTTCAAACAGTAACAGTAATGAAAACAACTTAAGAATTAAATTATTATAATTAAAATAATGCTTCAAAATTAAAATGCCCTTAAATAAATAAATAAAATTTTTGAAAAATAATGTTATTTTATTTAATTTTTTAAATCAGATCTTCGACAAAAACAATACCTATTAACATTTAAGGCGTTGATTTTTTAAGAATATCTTTATATTGCTGTGTAAAGAAACACACTAAAAGATAAATGAATTGATAAATATTACGTTTTCTCAGGATCTGACCAGGCATGCTTTGCTTTCCATGGGATGTTTTGATTATAAAACATATTAATAACTATTTTTACAATACTAATTTGAATAATTTGAAAGTTTTTAATTACTTTTTTAAGTTACTTAAAAAGCAAAAAATTTTCTTTTGCCATTTTTCGATATGGAGTTATACCTGACCTGTGCATTTTCCTGACTGAATTGAAAGAAAAACATAACATAAAAATAAGTAAATTATTAAAATCCAATTATTTAAAAAACATTGAAAAAGTTTTTATTCATGATATGTAAAACATAAATAAAAAAAGTACGTGAAATTTGTTTCTTATGTTAAAATGTAAATATACATTTTTTTTAAAGCTAAGGACAATAGTGCTATTATTGAATCGCAGAGGTCCTTTTACATGTTTCTTAAAACAATTAAATAAAGCTATGCACAAAAAATAAACGTAGGTAGTGATAAAGTTATAACGTTAGTTAAACAATTTGTGTCTCATTCTACCAATGCTGCATCATTCGGTCCCCTGATTTTAGCCTTGTAATCGCAATTTAAAACAGGGACATTCAATAGTTTGGAGGCTTTCCGCACTCGTAGATAATGTGCCCTCTTTTACTGTATTAAATGTTTTGTATGTTCGATCGCATTTTTCGCATTGGTAATTGTTTTTGCTTATTTCCTTGTATCCTGTTATCGGTGGTGGCTTTTTCCCACAAAAGTACTTTACATGTCTGCGCAACGAGCCGAGAACTTTGAAACTTTTCTCGCAGTTTGGACACGGATGTTCATCGCCTTCACCTAAAAATATATTCTGTTAGAATGTGTTAAATAATAGTTAAATAAAACAATAATGAAGGTAGTTAAGTAGGTATTTATTTTGATTAATGAGTGATAGCTTTTTTTTAAAGGGTAATAGCAAAATAAAACTAAATTAAATCAAGATTTAACAATATTTATTAATACTGGATAAAAAAATATAAGAGTAAAATTTATATTCAGATATACATTAATTAAAAAATCATAAAGAAGACAAAAAATAACACACAAAATGTTTTAGTAATCGTAATCATGATGATTTATTGATATAATTATCAATAAAACGAACAATAATGAAATTGGCCGAAATTTTTTTATTTTTCGGCCGCTTGTTATAAGTAATTTTAATAATTATTATTTATTTTCGCGACTTGAAGAATTCAAGAATGGAATCCTAAAAAACGTGTTTATATAAACTTTTTAAAATAACATATTAACTAAAAATCTTTTTAGTGGACATAAATGATAAAGTAGAGTTTTAGTACCAACCCGCAGTATAGTTGGGATTTTAAAATAAGTAGTATATATTTATGTTAAAAATTAACTGATCTACAAAAGTTTCCTTTTGTTTTTATAATAAATGTACGTACACCGAAAAAAATAATGTAGTTGAGTTAACGTTTGCCTAAATGTCATTTTTAAAAATGTTGTTTCATCAAAAAACCTATTGGATTAATCTATATTTTGGTGTTAAAGCAATAGTCAGAGTTTGTCAAAGTTTATTTGTTCATTTAACAAATTGTAAATGTTACTTTAAAATTTAAAATGTTAAATTTGCATTCATAAAACTGCCGATAAGGGCGCTTCGAACACCCACGCCAAGTCATTAGACGGTGTTGATCACGTGTTCTTACATCTCGCCTCAGTTGGCTTACGCTAGGAGTATATAAGATCAGGTACTCTCTAAAAATGAATTAGTCAAAAATTACTAATTTAATAGTTATTAGTGGCTGCTTTTTCACTTGTACCATGGTTAACCATGGAATACCATTGTATCCCAAAATTTCCCAATTCTTGTGTAAAATTGTCCCCTGAATCTGAAAATGTTGTCAAAAGTTTAAAAAGTTGAACAGTTTTTGAGATATAGTCAATTTTCCATTTAATATGAAATTGACTATATCTCAAAAACTGCTCCACTTTCATAATTTTGGACGGTATTTTCGGATTCAGGGGACAATTTTACATATGAATTGGCTATTAAATTCTGGGATACAACGGTATTCCATGCTTAACGGTTAAGCCTTAAGCCTTAACCATGATACAAGTGAAAAAGCAGCCACTAATAACTATTACATTAGTAATTTTTGACTAATTCATTTTTAGAGAGTATCCGTTTGTATTGGGTGCACTGTTCAAAATTTAATGACCATTTTAACACCAAATTAACACCATACGTGGTCTATATCGATACAAACCAAAATCGTGTTAAATAAGGTTCGTTGGTCTGGTGTAAATTCAAATACTAAAATGGTGTTAATTTAACTTTCATACAGTATTAAAATAAATTTTACCTGGTGTAAATTGAACTCCTTTTCAGTGTTAAATATTATGTGTTTGTGGTCAAATTAAATCATACTACACAGAAAAAAGGAAAAAAAAGGAAACAGGAAGTTCCTTGACGCATTACTAGTATATTACCAGTGGTATTATTCCAGAAAATGGAACCTTCAACTCTCTAGAGATAATGTTTTTTAGTGCGTTCCACTAACTTAAAATAGTTTAAGTATTGACAGCTGTTTCCACCTATTTAAGATCTCTTTAGTATCGAACAACTTGTAGTGTCACACCAAAGCAAGTGAGTTTATATATTCTTCATGTAAGTCAACAGAGGCGAGATTTAAGAACATAACACCGCCTTTGCCGCGATCGGTACACATTTTCAACCATAATTCATGGTGTTATATTAACACCACTTGGTGTTGGATTTTGACACCATTTTAAGATTACTTTTTACACCACAGATATTTTAAACAGTGTGTGTTCCACAGTGGAACTTAAACTACACCAAATTGCCCGACACTGATAAGACCCCCAATATAGGTCGAAACAGCTGTCTGTCGGTATTTGAAGTAGGTGGAACGCACTCAAAACAAAAACTCTGGCGAGGTGAGGGTTCAATTCTTTCATTTTATATAGAATTTTCCTTTTACATTTTCAGAATGTTAACCCAACCGTTTTGGAACATTAGCGCAAATTATTTTAATTTAACATTTTATTGGTGTTAAGTGAATATGCTAAAAAGGTTACCTGGACATTTTAAGAAATTTAACTTAACAACCTAAGAATGTTAAATTAACCAAATTAGCAGATTAGAACAAATATTCTCATTTTGTTCATTTGACTAATATTTGTTGTTCAATTTACAATACAATTTGACATTTTTAGATAGTTAAGTAAACGTGCAAAAACCATTGCTTGTATTTAAAGTGCATAAAGAGTTGAATTAATATTTTTGTTGTTGTTTCAACATCTTATTTTTTTCAGTGTGGAGTAAATATTTATTGATAAAATTCGCCCGTTGTCTTTTATCAAATAACTTTTTAGTCGTCAATAATTTTTGATTCGCATAGAAAAAAACTGGGATCAAAAAAATATTTTGATAAAAAAATAATTCGAGAAAAAAAATTGTTTGATTGAAAAATATTTTGCTAAAAAAATAATTTGATAAACAAATAAATTAGTAAATAATGCATATAATTAATTATTTATAAAGCAAAATAAGTTTATTTTAAACTATTAATTTAAGTATAAAAAAACAGGATATTCCGGCTTTTTTATCAAATTTGTACAGTTGATTAAGACTCAACAGTCAAACTAATTTTATTTTCATTGCATATCTTGTGCCCTGTTAAAGATGAAAATTTCATATAGCAACAATTGCACTATAAAAACATATTAAAGCATCATTACATGTAATAAAGCTGTCCCCTGTTTTAAAAACACCAGAAAAATATACATGTATGATGAATATGATGCTTTATGATGTATACATATAATAATAATAATTTTATTGTTATAATAGCATGCCGTTCTGTATATCGGTCATTGCGAGACTTTGTCCTAATGTTGGAAAATGAATCCGAATGTTTAAAGATTTGGACAAAGTACTCACACTTTTTTTAGACAACCTGTATAAATATTTTAACATTTAAAAATGTTAAATACGTGTTTGTATTTTATATTTCTATTTACCTATTAAGACTAATTTAAATATTAAATAATTTATTTAATGCAATACAAATTCAAGAACATAAATTAATGCAACTTATATTGGTAAATTTTGATAATATATTGTGATGACTATTTTTTTTATAAGCAAATAAGACATTATGAGTTTTTTTTTCTAAATAAAGATCTGAATTTAAAAAAATCGACAACCCAAAAAATGTCCTTCACAATAAATAAGTTAAATATTCATTCAAACGAGTATTTATGTCTTTTAATTAAATGCGCATGAACAGTTCTTTGGTGAAAATTAAGAGATCCATTTTGTGTGAAGCGTTTGTTACAAACTGTACACAAAAACTGCGGAGGCTTGTTGCATTCGTAGTTAATGTGACGTTTTACTCCATTTTTATACGTGTATCTTTTATTACAGGTGCCGCAATAGAAGAATCCATTCATCACATAAAAATCTGAAACCAAAATCTTGTTAGTAAAATATGAAACTTTAAAAAATAGTTATCAATTGACAAATACCTACTAATGCATGTTGATAAGAAGTTCTACAAACTTAAAGGGTTACAAAAAGTGTCATATATTAACTATAAATTTTATTACTAAGCACTCAATACAAACTACTATTAACTTTGGTTTTTAACATCACAAAAAAACAATATTGGCTTTACAAGAAAAAATATGCTGTCTTAAAGTTGAATTTTGGGTGTAAGCTTTTCCACAATATCTGCAAACAAACTTTGGTACACCATCGCATTCGTACTTCATGTGCCTGTACAAGTTTGGTTTATGCTTGTATGTTTTTTCACAGTTTTTACATTTGTAACGATCTAAAAAATAAAAAATAATAATAAAATTTATTTAAAACTATTAAAACTTTTACATAAGCCACCCAAGCTGTTATTTTAAACAAATGTACAATTTAATTTAATTTTTATTTTATTCAGATCTTATGAATAACTTGTATGTGCTTTTTTAAATTACATTTATGTGTAAACTCTTTTGTACAATGGCTACATTTAAAGCGTGGTATTTGTCCACACTCATAGTTGAGATGTCTTCTTAAATTATATTTATAAGTATACGTATTCTGGCAATTCGGACAATGATAATTTCTTCCTAAAAATAAAAAAAGTAATTTAAAATTAAACATTATTAGGTTATAACTTCAATTAAGTTTGAGGTTAACCTATACTTATAAAATGTTATATGCGATATAATATTATGTAATTTATAAATTACTTTAGTATTAAAAAAGTTTTAAAATATAAAGTTTTAAAATATGAAGTCATTGAGAAATAGTACATTATAGACAGTATAGATCAGGCAAATAAAGCTCATATTATAGCCGAGCATACATTTCAGTGCCGATGCGCTAGCCGGGCTTGAGATTGTGAGCGAGGCAATTAATAAGCTTAAGCGAAGCGAAACATAGGACGTTACACGTGTAATTGTGTCTTTTCTATGAAAAAACACTGACACTAAAACATAACCAAAAATCATAGGACCAAACTAGTATATATACGTATACGCTTGCATCAGTGGCGGCTCGTCAGGGTAGGCCTCTGAGGCCGCGCCTCACCCTTAAAATGAAGGAACGAACGACTTTTTGTATTTATATTTTTGCCTATTACAAGTGTATTTTTACAACAGTTCTACCCAATAAAAAGTAAAAAACCAATCAATAATATTAAGCGTAAATAAAAATCCAGGCGCAAAGCGCGTCAAGTTAACGTGCATCGTTGAGAGTCGCTTGTTGTATGTATCTTGGCTTGGACAGAGGCGAAATTTTCACAGCCTCGGAAGCTCCCATTTACGTCTTGAAAGCGAAAATGACTCACCAACAAAAATATCGCCGTAAGTTCGCGAATAAACACCATAGATGAGGCGAAATTTAGTTGGCTTGGTTTGTTCTGATTGGTGGTCCGTTTATGGTGGGATGCCAGCGGAGACAAAGAAGGTTGCCAGTCTTCTCTTAGCGTTTGTAGAGCACGTTATTGTTTTGATTCAGATTAAATTATTTAAAACTTTTGGCTGATCTTTTATAGTTTTTGTCTCGATTAGTAAAATTTCTTATTTAATTATTGTAGGGAACACACTAAGGTAGATTTAGCAGTTTTATTAAGCAAATTTTATATTTTGAAATAATAGATTGCATAATTCTTCAATTAGAGACGCGGTTTGAAAATTTAGAATTACTTTTAAATCTCACTGCAGACTCACAATTTTACGACCAAATAATAGATAAATTTTCAATCTTAAAAGATAGACGTATGGTATTTTATATTTTTTAATACTTAGGTATGGGTCGACTTTTTAGTTTTATTTTTATTTTTTGATTAATTTATTTATTTTTAACTATTTTTTAAGTTTAAGATTAAAACTAGTCTTTGATGTGATATTTTGTTTGTTTTGTTTTTTAGAGTTTATTTTTTGGTTTAGTAGTGCTATCGGCTCCATTTTAAAAAAGGTCAACGCGTCGGAGAATAATACCTCCCGGGTGACGTGGAAATTTATTCGTATTTAGACAAAATTAACCTTATGTAGCCTTACCCTCCTGTACACCCACGAGCCGCCACTGGCTTGCATATGGCATGAAAATTTAAATTCAAAGTTTGGATTCCAAACACTGAAATAAAAAATCACGACATGATTTTCTTTTCTCACGTTTGACATCCATAGGATATCCGTAAGGCACAAAAATTCAATTCCAAACACTGATTTTTATTTCTTAAGAGTGATATCTGTATGGCACAAAAATTCGCGTATTCAGTATGAATAAAATTCGTGAAAATCACGAATGTTGTCCGTGATGACCTATTGACCAGTGTTTTTTTATATTTATTTGCCAAGTTTTATATCCTATTTTTTATTCAAGCATTTATTTAAAATATTTTGCAACATCATCTCTTTTAAAATAAATAAAACTTATATCCCTGGATTATTACTGATGTGCGATATTATAATTAATAATTGTATTAACTATAAACAAATTAATTATTTATTTATATCTAAAGGTTCTATAGTTTTAACTTTATTATTGTAAACACTCACTACTAAAGTGATTGATTATCGCCTAGGCTTATTAATTGCTTCGCACACAATCTACTGCCTCGACTTTCGCCTCGCCTGTAAAAACTTGTTTTTAATATTATTAGAGGTAGGTACCTAATGACGATATGTATTTTTTGTGTTCTAAGTTAAGACCTTTATACACAAAAACTTAATTGCATTATTTTTAGAAAATTGGACGAAATAACTCCAGTTGCACAAAATATTGGTCCTATATAGGGCGCGTCTATGTCCAATATTTTATCTAAGGCCAATATTGAATTTAATTAGCCGATTTTAGCCCTATATTGTCATAAATGATAATTTGATATATCATTGCCAATGTTTATCCAAGGTTGGTCCTATATTGGCATATTGTTTTACGCCAATATATCATTAACTATAGTCAACGATGCTTTCGGATGATATGTAACGAAACACGTTTGTTTCCAGGACCCCATTGGGTGAAAATAATAAAGGCCATTCTTGAATATTACCGTAAGAATAACAAGGGTAATATGCGATTCCTTGTCTTATTAGCAATAAAATTCGTTATTAAGTTAATACAGCTTAAGCTGATCATTTTAGCACACGATACAAACAATTTTAGCATTTCATCGTAATTAAGAATAACATAGACGGTACACGACTTTTCTTATTGGTGGATTTTTTCAAAGACTTTGGAGGGTACATTTTATATCCCCCTTATCATTTGGGTGGGCATTGTCACCCCCCCCCTGCTTATTCACCCCTAAGTACTATAAACATTTTCTGAAAACAAACGTTTGTCCACACGATCGTGACATATCACTTTTAGAAATCTTTCTACGTAGTAAGTATTAGGTGGCTATCTTTTTTTCTTTCAATTTTTTCCACAACTTTTCTAGAATATAATATAACTTCGGGCCAATGCGGATTTCCAATATCGGTTATATAATGTCAAACAACTTCAGGCCAATGTTGGGTTTCAATATTGGACCATGCTAGAAAAAATCTGACGAAAGATTTTTGGCCCAATATTATTACGAATATTGGGCCAATATCTTTGTGCTACTGGGGAAGCTTGACACAGACAGAAAATTTTGTAAAAAAAATTAAACGACAAATTATAAATTTTGCAGAACAAAAGCGTTATTTATCTTCTTATTTTAAAATTTATTTATATTATTTATTTATTTTAAGAATAAGTGTTATTTTTTTTTGGCATATATTTTTAGACATTTTTACAACAGTTCTACCCAATAAAAAGTAAAAAACCAATCAATAATATTAAGCGTAAATAAAAATCCAGGCGCAAAGCGCGTCAAGTTAACGTGCATCGTTGAGAGTCGCTTGTTGTATGTATCTTGGCTTGGACAGAGGCGAAATTTTCACAGCCTCGGAAGCTCCCATTTACGTCTTGAAAGCGAAAATGACTCACCAACAAAAATATCGCCGTAAGTTCGCGAATAAACACCATAGATGAGGCGAAATTTAGTTGGCTTGGTTTGTTCTGATTGGTGGTCCGTTTATGGTGGGATGCCAGCGGAGACAAAGAAGGTTGCCAGTCTTCTCTTAGCGTTTGTAGAGCACGTTATTGTTTTGATTCAGATTAAATTATTTAAAACTTTTGGCTGATCTTTTATAGTTTTTGTCTCGATTAGTAAAATTTTGTAAAAAAAATTAAACGACAAATTATAAATTTTGCAGAACAAAAGCGTTATTTATCTTCTTATTTTAAAATTTATTTATATTATTTATTTATTTTAAGAATAAGTGTTATTTTTTTTTTGGCATATATTTTAGACCTATAAGAATGTTGTTTTGTTTTTATTTAAAAGTAATGCCTTTTAGATTTATTTTTTATTTACCAGATGAAACTACTTTTCTAGGTCTCTGATTAAAATATTGCTTCCTTTCTTTAGACCGCGATTTTTGGGATTTTTTCTCGAATCGCTTTTCATGAGTTATTTCTGTTCTGAATTTATCTTTGCAAAAGAACATACTAACAAAAATAACACAGACCAAGAATCATATATACTCTTCTCTTTGGTCCTCTTTGTATGTATATTAGGGTGATTCAAAAAAAGCCTTTTTTTTAAATGAACCCGCACTGGCCTAAATTATAAAGATTACATTAAAACTAAAAGATTGATACCAAAAAATCCAAATTCGATGAATATTTTTTGTATTTTTGCACATTTGAGCCGCGAAATTATTACTGCGCAAAATAGTAAATATCTCCGTTAGTTTTTAATCGATATTATTAAAAGTTTAAAGGTTACCTAGTTTTTTAATACCCTCTAAGACAGTGTATTGAACTTAACGGAAAAAAAAAATTTTTCATGAAAAAAAAATTATTTGTTAATAAAAACGTATCATCTTATAAAATAAGCAACAATTGGAATCGCACTATGATGGTACCGTAAAAAAAGAAAATAACACTTAAATTATTTAGTATACAGAAAACCTGCCGAAAGAAATATTTTATTTGATTTATGTAAAATATAACCTAAAAATAATTAAGTAATTTAGATTTTTCCCATTTTCATACGATTTTATAAATAATTTATATCCGTTTTATTAATTATGACGTATTTTAATAATATTTCTTTATTTTTTATACCATATTTTATTAATTAAACTAGGTAGTTATTAAATTAGGTTCTTTTTACAACTAAAATAAAATAACGTTAACTACAAAATTATTCTCTGCATTGATATGGCTTAAGCAGAAATTTAAATTTTATTAAAATTATTGACATAGAACAATTCTCAAATTTTGATAGTAGGACGTACTACCAGGTAGTTGATAAATTATATAAATATAAATAAATATATATATATATATATATATATATATATATATATATTATTTACTTAATTCAAAAGCGTCTAAGTACCAAAACTAATTTGTTGAGAAATTAAAGAAAAACATCTTATACCTTGGTGGAGATAGATAGCATGCTCGATGGATGAACAAAGCTATATACTCTCTAAAGATTTTCTTATTTCGGGATCAATTTAAACTAACAATGAAAATAAGTCATTGCGTAGAATTTGTATTTTTGTTATTTTGGTTTACATATTTGCCTGGTTCCAAGCTCCAAATGCAACTTGCGCGCCCAAAAATGGTTTGAAAACACTTCACAATAATTTGCAAATAGAAGAGTTAATTTGTTTGGCATTTTTTCATAAAAAAATAGGTACATACCTACTGAAACAAAAGAAAAAATGGTTGAAAAAATTAAATTAGAAACAATCATTGCAAAGAAAAAGATGTAGAGCAGTGGATTTTTTTTTATTTTAATTATAAAAAGGACCTAATAACTACCGAGTTTAATTAATTAAATATGGTATCAAAAATAAAAAAATATTATAAAAATACGTCATAATTAATAAAACGGATATATATTATTTATAAAATCGTATGAAACTGAGAAAAATTTGAATAACTTAATTATTTTTAGGTTATGTTTTATATAAATCAAATAAAATATTTCTTTCGGCAGGTTTTATGTATGCTAAATAATTTAAGTGTTATTTTTTTAGTTTTTTTACGGTACCATCATAGTGCGATTCCAATTGTTGCTTATTTTATAAGATGATACGTTATTATTAACAAATTATTTTTTTTTCAAGAGAGAATTTTTTTTTCCGTAAAGTTCAATTCACTGTCTCAGAGGGTATTAAAAAACTAGGTAACCCTTAAATTTTTAATAATATCGATTAAAAACTAACGGAGTTATTTACTATTTTGCGCAGTAATAATTTCGCGGCTCGAATGTGCAAAAATACGAAAATCGATTTGAGCGACCTATAAATATTCATCGAATTTGGATTTTTTGGTATCAATCTTTTAGTTTTAATGTAAACTTTATAATTTAGGCCAGTGCGGGTTCATTTTTAAAAAAAGGCTTTTTTTGAATCACCCTAATGTATATCTAATGTTTTACAACCTAAGGTATAAATTAGATAAATAAAAATAAATTAATTTTGGAACAAATGTTACTCTCTAAAAATGAATTAGTCAAAAATGACTAATTTAATAGTTATTAGTGGCTGCTTTTTCACTTGTACCATGGTTAACCATAGAATACCATGGTATCCCAAAATTTAACAGCCAATTCATATGTAAAATTGTCCCCTGAATCCGAAAATACCGTCAAAAGTTAAAAAAGTAGAACAGTTTTTGAGATATAGTCAATTTTCCATTTAATATGGAATTAACTATATCTCAAAAACTGCCAAACTTTTATAATTTTTGACGGTATTTTCGGATTCAGGGGACAATCTTACATAAGAATTGGCTGTTAAATTTTGGGATACCAAGGTATTCCATGGTAAACCATGTTACAAGTGAAAAAGCAGCCACTAATAACTACTGAATTCATTTTTAGAGAGTACCTTAATCTTAATATTTGTTGTTTATCATAATATTGCAAGTACACAAAATTACGAAATAATACTGTATGAGGAGCGAGGCGAAAAGTGCGCCGAAATTTGCCTTTTTTCTTGAGGAAGCGCGCTATAAATTGCTATAACATAAGTTCTAGTGTTGTGATCTTGCGAACATATTCTTAAAAGTATATTCAATAAAAAAATTTTTTACTCAGCACAAATGTATGTAAGTGGGTCATTCCCACGAAAAAATTAATTCCTATTTTTATTATAACTGTGCATCAATTTTAAAAACTGTTTAATATCTATAAATATAAAAAATCTTTTTGACAAAACCTAAACTTGTATAGGTCCCTAAACAGCTTTAGCCCAGGGCCCCTAAAGGTAACGGTTTGCCCCTGGCCTTGACGATAAAACATTGCTGAGAAGTTTCTTTTTGTACTTTACTCAAACTTTGAGCTCAGCACAAAAAGACTTACTTCTCATACTTATGACACAATTTGATTAATAATCAATCCGACAGATACCCAGATCCCAGATAATAAAGATTTTTGCTAATGTAATTTTTTTGCCACAGGCCAGAAATGAACGATAGATCACATCATATGAGTTGCGCTCTAAAAAACGATTTTTGAGGTGATGCTTGTTTTCCAAAAAGTCTAATAATGATTTGTTTATCTTTAAAATTGACAATGGTACAAAATACCGAAGTAGAGCGTTAATGTAAAATTAACTCGATGAAATAGCTCGCTATGCTCATCCGATTGAGCTGGATAGTTCATGGCAATGTAGGAAGTAAATTTTCAATAACATTCTAACATTGATTCTATGGAGTTTTTTAAACAATTGATCTAAATAACATTCCCCATAGTCAATCCCATGCTATAAGTTCTACATCAGTTAGAGCATCTCTAAATTGAGAAAATCCTTTTAAGAATGAAATTTTATTAGATTATTATTTAATTTAAATAGACTCGAACACTAACCTTTTAATTCCACTTGGTCTTGTAAAAATTCCTTTCATTTCATTGAAAGCATTTTCTCCTGGATCCAGGTCATTTATGACATTTTTCACTATTCCTAATTTAATGTGCAGTAAAGAAAGCAGCACTTCTTTGATCGGTACGAATGGGTTTTTAATAATGTTGTTTCGTCTTAGTCTAACTTCTTGACGTAATTTCGTTCGTTGTACTAATCGCCATCAAATCTGGTATAGCGATAAATCTGCACATATCTTTCTCATGTGGTCATTATAATGTACTAAATTCATGATTTAGGTTGGTTTTTAAGGTAAGTGCTTTTGAAACTGAATTTGTGCAGAAGTACCGCAATCAATCAATCTATATTTTGCGTTATGTTCTTGCTGAAACCAAAGCACGGATATCGTACAATAGGCAAATAAATTATGTTAAAAATATATTTATTTTGATTTTTAATGTCCAATAATTTTCTTAAAATTAAAATTTTAAAGTAGTGACGAAGAAATTTAAAAAAAATGTAATCGAACAAATCGATATATTTTTGAAATGGCTTCAATTAAATGTAATTCTACTGAAACAATAGACTGACACCGAAATAAAATGAATAAATTTCCTTACAATTGAATAATTTAAGAAAAAGTAAATAACAATGTTAGTTTTTTTGTTGAAACTGCTTTCATCAAGTGTAATTCTACAATAGATATTCGAACAATTGACATCGAAATCAAATCAATAAATGTAAAATATTATAATGATATCTGAACTATAAATTCAATAATTCATTTTTTGCCTGGGACAAAAAATCTACACAGGCAAAAATCTTTCTTAGCCAATCCAGAAAAACGTATATTACCATTGTTCTTAGCAAGGCCGTAGGTAGAAAAAAGTTTCGGGGGGGGGGGGATTTGTTAATAAAAAACGGGTGCAATATACAGATTAGTTTTGTTCAAAAAGTGTTCTTAAATTAAATTTCCTAAAATTTCGAGGGGAATAAAACCCCCTTCTGGCTACGGCCTTGGTTCTTAGCGTACCTGAATTAACTTTACTCACATACTTCCAGTGTGAAAGTATGTGTCTTTATTAGGTATGAGCGTCGAAAAAAAATAAGTTTCTTTTTGAGCACATGCAAATTCTATTAGTCTGCCTAAAAACTATTGTTTAATTAAAAAAATAAAAGAACTTCATAAATGTAGGTACCATACAAGGTAAGAATATTAAGCCTTTTAAATTGACCTCTACAGCTCTGAGCATATGGTAAATTCAAAATTGACCTTATCATCCTTTTTTTTTCTGGTTTCTGACTCATTAGCTTGTCCCCAAAATATAATGCAGTACTTCATCACAGAGTAAAAGTTAGAAAAATATGTAACTCTGCGTATTGAGGGACCCAAGTATTTCCCCATAACTCGAGTGGCATAAATAATTTTATTCAGTTTTGAACACAATTGATTTATATGCTCCAGCTCAAGGTTGCATCTATAGTTATTCCAAGAAATTTTGTATTACTAAATACCTCAATATTCCTACCATTTAGGCTTATTTCACCTGGAAAATGAGACAGTTGGTTTTTTTCTTTATTTATAATTAATTTGTTTCTTTTAAACCAATTTTCCACATTTCCAA